TGCATCTAGAGGCACTTGGTGTTCGTGTTTCGCTACGGATTTCGCTTGTTACTCTTGGTGGTTGCCGCCACCTAGACGGCTTGGAGCAGCGAGGATCGTTGAGCGGAGGGTGGTGATTGTCTCCGGCTCCGATCGTGGTGATTGTGAGGGTTCTTGACCTTTCCCCGGCGGAGAGCCAAAAGGTACTCTAGTGGATTGCTCGTGGCTTGTGTGATCCTCATCTTGTGTTGGTTGTGCGGCACCCTATTGAGGGTTTGGCGTGTGAAGCCAATTAGCGCGTGAACCTCCAAGTGAGTGAATCGCCACAACGAGGACTAGCTTGCCGACAAGCAAGTGAACCTCGGTAAAAAATCATTGTGTTCATCATTGATTCTGAGGTGATTGGTATTCATTGTTATTCATCCTTGTGATTGATTGGTTCTTTCATCTACACGGCGGTATAACCTTCTTGATCACTCTCTTTACTTTACCGCAAACTAGTTGCCAAGCTCTTTAGTGTAGCTAGTTGTGAGAGCTTGCTTGGTTGGTTGGTGTGGCTCTTTAGTTAGCCTTTGAGAGCACACTAACATAGGGTAGTGTCATAGCTCTTGTGTGAATCGACACTATCAAAACTAGAATTGTGGTAGGTGGCTTGCATTTTGAGTAGGCTAGCGCAACACTTGCTTCGCCTCATAATTGTCTAACCTTTTGTTAAGTGTTGTTGTAGAAATTTTATTAGGCTATTCACCCCCCCTCTAGCCATTAGGACCTTTCACAGGGGCCCTCGGCGCCATGGTGCTGGCCTCCTCCATCTCGACGAGAGCGGTGGCTTTGAGCTGATGCGGTGGAATAAGACAGGCATCATTTCGGAACTCGTTGACTTGGACCTGCGCCGCTATGATATGTGCTCGAACCTTCTCGACCTCTAGAGTGTGAGGAAGTTTGTCAAGCTTGTTGAACGCGATGGCCAGATTAGCGCTTGGAGTTTGGTAAACTGGCTGGTCGCCCACCATGTCGAATGCCTCCTCTAGATTACTTTGATGGCAGGGCAGACCACGACCATCCTCATGGCCTCTTGGGTTGCTTCTGCATCTCGGCAACATTCGCGATCGGCGTTCCTCGCCAGACGAGCCGTGCGCTCTTCAGTGGTTTCAGCGTTCTTGTAGACGCTATTATGGCTGACGTGGAAAATCACACCCCCAAACCCCAGAGGGAAAGCAGGGTAGCTCAGCTCGATCTAGGTCGAGCCCTCAAAATAGTCATCGGGGCTCTCATCTAGAACACTATGAAGAGATTCGGTTTGGAGAGAGGGATCATCCGAAAGCTGGTGGAGAGCCACCATGTTGACCACGGGCGCGGGTTGACCGGAGTCATTCGGGTTGATCATGTAGAGGTCGGTGACGTGGTCACGCTCGATGTGATCAACAAAGAGGTGGTGGATGGCGTTCTGGTACGTAGATCCCGCACCCTCCATCCCAAAAGGATAGGGCTTCGACGGAACCTCCATCGGGGCCTCATAGTCGGCCAAACGTAGGCCAGTAGCGGGAAGTGGTCAGCGCCGCACTGTGCACCCTTCTGGAGTAGCCGTGATCACCAGATTAGAATCTAGCCGCCTTGAACGGTGTGGCCAAGCAGGTCGCTCGGTTGCAGCGGCTTGGTGATCTTGGAGTGCGGGAAATTCATCGCTCGGTCTGGATTGATCTAAGACCGAATCCACGAGGAGCTAACATTCCATTAAGCGGTCCGTGACCTGATCGATAGATGCGATCAGATCATTGTTGTTGATGGATCTCCTAACCCAGCGTTGGGGTGCCAAGATCGGAGATGCCCTTGCAGGTGTTGGCGCGATCGGTGCAGGGTGATCCTGCACCGCCTCCACGATCTCCCCGTTGCCATCGGGGCCGATGATCTAGGTCATGGATCCGACCGTGAAGATCTGGCCCAGCTCGGGAAAGGCCATGGAGCTTTGAAAAGTGATCATCTAGTTCGCCATGAATTCGACACGCACACCCCTGCCTGGCGTGCCACTGTCGACGAAATACATCCGGTAGTCTACCGAGGGGTATGCCCACGGTAGTAGACGAATCGGTGGAGGTACGCGTGAGGGAGCCGGATGGTGACACAGAACGCGAGAGACAACGATTATACAAGTTTGGGCCGTCGACTTGACGTAATACCCTACGTCCTGTGTCTTTATGGATTGTATTGCTTATGATTCGATGAAAATGAGGAGTCCCCTGCCCGCCTTACATAGCTTGGGGGTATGGTTACAGATCGGTTGTTTCTATCCTAATCGGTTGTTTCTATCCTGATCGGTTTTACAAGATAGAAATTTACAGATATCTCGAGATCTAGTGTATCCATGTAGGTCTCCTAGATCGCCGGAGATCCTAATGCAGTCTTGTGAGGCACGCTAACCGGTATCGTGCCTTGCACATCACGGTCCTGTGAGCTTGGCCTCCACTAATGGCGTGACCCAGGCACAGTCTTGTAGGCTGGGCCACCTTTGATGGTGCGTCACATGTCTTGTCCTATGGATACTGTGGGTCATACCCCCACAGGTTCTAATCCTATCACTAGCCTATCAAACTAAGTTAGAGGATGAATAACTTGTTGCTGATTAGGCAGAGGAAGAGAGACCGTAGTGAAGAAATTCGGATTTAGCATGCTTCATTTTTCACGATATTAGATGTTCATCGGACGGGGTAACATTCGCGATGTCAGTAGAAAGGAAAAATAGTATACTGTATTTCAAGAGCAAAATGTGTAATCTTTTTTCTCGATCCTGCTATGCCTAGGATTTGAAGCTGGTTGTTGCAAGCTTTTCTTATTCTGATAAAGGGAATAGCCTACTCAACGGAAGAAAGGATCAAAATGCATTGGCTCTCGTGTTTCCTCTAATCTTTTTTGTAATTTATATTAAAAATTAAACTGGGGAATGCATCATTTTTTTGATAGGGGGAATGCAGCAATTTACTCGACTGGGATGGGATTCTTAATTCGGTCATGTTTGAACCAAAAGGAAGCGCCAAGCGGCACAGCGTACTACGAACTGATGAGCAGGCCAAGTCGAGCGGGGCCCGAATGTGATGAGTAGAATTCTCGGCCCATTTATATTTAAATAGGCCTGGCCAGTCCATGGCCCAGTGGCGAGCTCCGTCCGACTCGCACCAGGCTGCTCGGCTGCCACTGTCAGTACTCAGTAGCACGACACAGTGGGAGTGGAGCATTTTAGTCCCACATCGGCGGAGCACAGCGGGGAGCGCACAAGCGGCTGCATTAAAGAGGACCAGGGTGCGGCCGTACCAAAACATGATCCTTCAGGCAGTTAAAGGGAGATGAGGAGTGGTATAAGCTCGCAATTACTATGCGAGAGGGGTGCCCGCCCCAACTAAGCCTGTTACGACAACATGGGCACCCCAATGACTTACCATCTGATCCCGACTTTAAAACAAAAACAAAAACATTTTTCTTTAGCTTAGCCCCTACAAGTACCAGGAATTCTCGTTGCTTTCGTTTTTCAATTTTTTGTTGATTTAAACTTTCTTTCGGAGTTTTTTCTTGCCAAGTTCTTTCTGACTTTTTGATATAAACGAAAACGCAAACTATTTTTAGTTTAGGTCCTATTATGTACAAGGACCATTTTAGTTTTTGTATTTTGATTTTTTATTAATCGTCCAAACTATTTTCTTTTATAAAATAAAATAGGTATTTGTATATCTGGAAAATATCAAATGAGCGAGTTGAGTAACTCCAACTCTCACATGCGCCACCAACTTGATTTTTTTTATGCCACCAACTTCTGGGTGCAGTTTCATTCATTCTCTCTACGAGACTCGCGCCGCCTACTGCTCAAAACTCGATTCCTCATAGTCCACATAGACCATTTTCTAGTGGTTAAATGAAAGTATGAAACCACACCCCTTCTCGGTAGTTTACATGGACTCAGGTAAGGCCACCTCAAGTAACTTTTTGAAATGGAACCAACATTCTAATTGGATTTTCATGAATGAACCTGTACCACTAGATCAAGACAACTTACACCGGAGAGGGAAAGAATCGAAAGTTATTTATAATGGTCACACATGTTATGAAGCACCAATTGCAATAGTCGAGTGAGATAGAAGGATCCGACTCCCTTGTCGAGTAGATTTATGGAGAATGAAAATTATTGAACTGGCGCGGTTACATTGTTTGGTGGGAAATGATAGACTTGTTGGGTAGCGGGCAACAACTGCGGCTAACAAGGGGATGTTGTAGACCTAGCGGCAGCAAAACAGACCGAACAAGAGAGAACGCAGTGGATAGCGTCACAATATAGAGTCGAACTAAACGAAATTGCACATCTTATGTCTAGGTTGGTATACTAAGAATGCCAGCGTTTGTCACAATTTCTTGCCAAATTTAACTAAAGGTTAGTTCATCAAATTGGTCTTCACACCTTAGCTAGCCTAGGAGAATTTTGCCATTTTTTTTTGTAATAACTGACACGTAGGAATGAGCCGATGGAAAAAAAAAGCAAAAATAATCTTATCAGAGTCTGTGGTGACAACCAAACAATAGGTAGCTTGATCAAATTCAACTAAATTTAGGTGTGACAAAGTGAAGTGCGCGCCGTTGCTGGCCTCGCTTGCCAGCTCGGGCGGCTCCGTGTTCATGTCCTGCAGAGTGCAGGCTGCAGTCTGCCTGCTGCTCGTCCGGGGGCCCTCCTTTCGTTCGCTGTGCATGACCCGCATCAGCAGCGATGACCGATGAGGCCACCGCCCGCCGCCCGGTGAGATGCGGCGCGATCTCGTTGCCCTGTCCGCGCCAGCTCCATCTCCGTCTCCGGCGGCGCCAGCCGCCACCCGCCCGCCTGCGCAGCGCGGACGCTCCACCCTCTGGCCCTCAAGTCCGGGCGCGCCTCGGAGACACGCGTGGCGACCGCGCTCGCCGTGGCGTACGCGCGGTCGGGCCTGGTCGCGCACGCGCGCCGTGTGTTCGATGAAGCGCCGCGCAGGGACCTGGTCCTCTGCAACGCCATGGTCTCCTGCTACGCCTCCCACGGCCTCGCGCGCCAGGCCTGGGTGCTCTTCGCCGCCTTGCGCCGCTCCGGGGCGCTCGCCCCCGACGGGTTCACCTTCAGCGCCCTGCTCCGTCCGCCGCCGCGCCGTCGCCGTCACCGCCACCCCGCCGCCGATGCCGTCGTCGACGCCGGGATGCTGCTCGCGATGGGAGCCCTGGCGCACGGCCTCGTGCTCAGGCTGGGTCTCCTCGCCGACGTGGTGGTCACCACCGCTCTGCTCGACATGTACGCCATGTGCGGCGGCCGGGTCGACGAGGCGCGCTGGGTGTTCGTCTGCTACGGTCGGGTTTGTGGAGGCAAGGACGCTGTTGACCACTTCCGGCGGATGCTCAGAGACGGGAGCTGCTCCCCCGATGAGCTCACGCTTGCCAGCGTGCTAAGTTCCTGCGCCAGCATGGCGGCAGCAAACGAGGCTACTCAGGTTCATGCTCATGCCGTAAAGAGGGGGTTTCACGAGTTTCTGCAGGTGGCCAATGCTGTTATCACGGCGTATGGCAAGACCGGTTTTGTTCGAGAGGCGACACAAACGTTTGCTATGATCTGCGACCCAGATGTAGTTTCATGGTCCTCTATGGTTTCGGCTTACGCGTACCTTGGACTATCGAAGGGTGCAGTTCATGTGTTTGAGAGAATGATCCAACAAGGCATACTGCCTGACGGCGTTGCCTTCCTCGGAGTTCTTTCTGCCTGTAGCCATGCTGGTCTTATTGAAGAAGGCTTACACTATTTCCTTATGATGACGAGGGGCTACAGAACCGATCCAAATCCACAGCATCTTGCTTGCCTGGTTGATCTCTTAGGGAGAGCTGGCAGGATTGAAGATGCTTACAACATTGTTATCAAGCTTTCTTGCGAGAGCAAGGCTGATATTGTTGGAGCTTTCCTTGGTGCTTGTAAGATGCGGGGCAAAATTGAGTTGGCAAAGTGGGCTGCAGATAGGCTTTTATGCTTGGAACCAAGTGAGGCAGTAAATTATCTGCTTATGTCCAATGCATTTGCTGCTGCAGGAGCTTGGAACGAGCTTGCAAAAGTAAGAAGTGTGATGAGACACAGGTGTGGCAGCAAGGTTCCTGGCTGTAGCTGGATAGAGATAGGTGGAACGGTTCAGACATTTGTCTCCAACGATGTGGTGCTCCATCAGTCGACTGAAATGCAACAAATGATGCAGCTTACTATTTCAGAAGCACGAAAAGAGTGGAACGAAGACACAACTTGTGATGATCCAATTTTAGTTCGAGAATGGCAGTGATACAGATGTTTGATATATTATTCTGGGTTAGTTTGGCATCTGCGATAGTCCCAGAGCTTATCAATGTGATCTTTCTCATGTAAGTGGTATGTATTAATTTTAGTGTATTTTTGCCAACTGATCATCACACTAACTAAATTGCCAAAACTGACTTGATTTGGTTGCATAAAGATAGGATCTATGTAACCTTAGGAAAGCAGAAAATAGCATTATGTTTTATTCTGTGTTATATTTGTTTAGTATTAGAATGAACAGTATAGAATGATTATTTTTACGATGGTGCAAATCAATATTTTACATGTTCTACAATATGAAGTTATGAGCCTTAATGATTTCAAATTCTGTAAACTTATTAATAATTTACCAAATATGTGATATTTACTGCACTTTCTTGGGAAATGATATACAAACTACTTCATTTTCCTTGAAAACAGCAGTGGCTCCTTGCATATATATATTTCATTTTCTTTTTGCCATAAGGGCGTACCCAGTGCAGAGAGCTCCCGCTCTGTGCGGGGTCTGGGGAAGGGTGTCAGTGGCAAGCCTTACCCTCGCCTGTCCAATGCGAGGAGACCGCGACTTGAACCCGGGACCTTCCAGTCACAGGCGGTAAGACTCTACCGCTTGCACCAGGCCCGCCCTTCTTCTTTTTGCCATAGTGCAGTTAATTTAATATTTGTTGATTGTGTTCGATTTTACATGTTTATATTGCTGTACAATCTATTTCCAGTTCATAAGTTGGTAAGATGTTTATGCCAGGTAGTTGAGTGCTGTTTTAGATAAATAGATATCTAGCCTGATATTTCTCTTGGATATCCATTTTATTCATATTTTCGTGTTTAAGATTAGCTAATTCTTGCTCAAATATTTTGCCACTATACATCCTGTTTGTGATTCCCATTTGGCCCCTAGTGTAGTAATGTTTGCTGCTTCTCTGGAAGTTGATGATAATGTTTGTACCGCATATTGTTATTTTTCCTGAACAAGCTTCTTACATAAGGGCCAGTTACATTTTTGGATAATAGTTTTTAATACCGCAGTTCTTTGATCCTGAGTAGTTGGTTAAAAATTTGCAGTCCTGCTGTTGTTGCATGAGTAACTGTGCCACATGATCTCAATTTGAGTTAGCAGATTATATATGATACTAGTTAAGTTTTGCACCTGTCATGTATTAAGGATACTGGTGTTGACTTGGAAGAGGGTCCAGGTCCCATCTTGTTTACCAAAATCAACACCCTTTAGGATTGCATTCAATTTGATCATTTTGCACTGAACTTGTGAATCCAAAGGATTAACAAGTTAGTGCAGCAGGTCTATTTCTTGTCCCTGCACGAAGTAAATGTTTCTTTCCTTAGTTCGTACCTTTCTAGATTCCAGTATTCAGTGTTGTCTTCTGTGCTTCAGGTAGGTACTCACAGAGATGACTGATGTTAGAGTTAACTGCAGTGTTGAGTGGACATGCCACATTAATGCAATGGGTTCTGTAGTTGAGTGTGTTCATAGTGTAAGTTCTTAAGATACCCATGAACCATCACTGCCAGTTGTGTATGATTTCCTTTGCTGATAAAAGTCCTTAGTGCTGCTGAACTTTAAATTCAGGGATGGGGGTGTTGCTGTGCTGGTCAAGAGTCAAGACTGACCCAATGAACTTACAGAACAAAGGACCCTGAAAGGTACTTCACCCTCAATTATGGAACTCTATGTCTCTACGTGAAAACTTGAATATTACCAACAATCAAACCAAAATTTGATCTATGAGCTACATCCAGATGGAAACAATGTCAGTAAATGAACTTGGTTGATACACTGTCATTAAAAAAAAAGTTGAAAGCCTAGGAGTTGCCCTCACCACAATGTGCCATCATGGATCTTAATAAGGCATTCGACCTCATGCTGAAATGTGTGCCCAATGCAACATTTGGCATGCATCAGTCCAGTAGTTGTTTCCATCTCAAAGAACCAACTGTCCATGTTGAGTGTTGTTTCTCAAGAATCATCCAAGTGAACCATGCGCCAGGTTTCTATCCCTTTTTTTTCCTTGACAAATCAGGGTTCTATCTTCTGTACACTACATATACACCTTTTTGCTGGCACGCATCATGCAAGTTTGACTCATTTCTCCAGAAGACCTGGCTGCTGGCTGGTCTCGTCTCTGTCCCAACTAGGGCAGGTTGTTACAGCGCAAAAAAGTCCTTACCTGGAGAAAGACACATTTGTTTTATACTACAGTTTTCCTCTTTGGCTCTGTAGTCCAATTTATTTGTTTTGGATTTGACATTAAAACTACCATGGGATACAAGAATAGGAAAAAAGTGACTTCTGAAAGGTCGGGCAGGAGGGTCGTGAGACTCAACCATAGGTTAAAGATTTGCCTTTTAAACTATAAAGGGCTGTTTAGAAGAGGGTATTGCTCTGGTAATGTTTCAGATACCTTTGAAAAAAAGTCTATTTATTAGTATAAATTTCAACAAGTCTGATGTACTTGTAATAAAATCCCTGCTATATAAATATGGCCCAATAATAGTATAGGATAGGTCTCATTTCAATGGATTCATACAAAATAAAATGAAAAGCATTCTTATGCGAAAAAAAATCCAAAGAGGTGAATTCTTGAAGATCCTTGCCCACCAAGGTAACAACTCCCACTAGGCCACTACACTACAGCTAGTCTTTGTTGTTAGCATCATTTGTCAATGTGTTGCACTTATCCTCGAAATTTCCACAAAGCTTGCATGACAAGGACTCTGCCCCTTCCCCATATATATAAACAATTCGCAGCCAGCAACCCAGCACTGACAAAAGTTCACCACAGCTCAAGAACAACCACAACTAGGAGATACAAAACAGAAAAAAAAAACAAGTGCACTCAAGAAGTGAAAGGAGGGATCCATAATCGAAATCCAAGTATCAAGATGGTCCTGGGCTTGGATTGCTTTGGTTTTATGGCGAGGAAGGCGCCAGAGTCATCTAAGCAGCAAGAAGCTGGAGATCTTGAAGAAAAAAGAAGGACGCGACAGAAGAAGCATCCCGGGAGGCCAGTGAGAATAAGGGTGAGAAGGCTGTAGAGAAGAACAAGAAGGGGAGAGGAACAGGGTCCCCCGTCGTGGTGCCTCACTTCCCTAGCCGTTCTACCCCTGCCTTGATCTAGCTAATCTGAATTCAGTTTCCTTCTTTCTGGTGTTCTTGCTGAAGGCAAGTAGGCAATTAGCGAGAAAATACCGCGTGAATGGATTCAGAGGACTTGATATCTAAAATTACAAAATTAGTAGTATGTAGAGTAAGGATAATAATAGAAGTAGCATACTGAATTAACAGAATGTTTGTGACTTGTGAGACCATCTTGTGCCTGAACATAACTTGCTTATGTGGGCTGCTGATAGGCTTTTATGCCTGGAACCAAGTGAGGCAGTAAATTATCTGGTTATGTCCAATGCATTTGCTGCCGCAGGAGCTTGGTACGAGCTTGCAAAAGTAAGAAGTGTGATGAGATACAGGTGTGGCAGCAAGGTTCCTGGCTGTGGATAGAGGTAGGTGGAACGGTTTGGACATTTGTCTCCAATGATGTGGTACTCCATGAACCGATTGAAATGCAACAAATGATGCAACTTACTATTTCAGAAGCACAAAAGGAGGGCAACGAAGACACAACTTGTGGTGATCCAATATTAGTTCAAGAATGGCAGTGATACAGATGTTTGATTTATTATTCTGGGTTAGTTTGGCATCTGCAATAGTCCCAGATCTTATCAATGTGATCTTTCTTATGTAAGTGATATGTATTTATTTTAGTGTATTTATGCCAACTGACCACAGTTGTCACCTAGGAGTTGCCCTCACCACAGTGTGCCACCATGGATCTTAACAAGGCATTCAACCTCATGCTTAAATGTGTGCCCAATGCAACATTTGGCATGCATATCAATCCAGTAGTTATTTCCATCCCAAAGAATCAACTGTCCATATTGAGTCTGTTGTTTCTCAAGAATCATCCAAGTGAACCATGCACCAGGTTTCTATCCCTTTTTTTCCTTGACTAATCAGGGTTCTATCTTCTATACACAATGTATACACTTTTTTGTTTGCACGCATCAGTCAAGTTTGACTCATTTCTCCAGAAGACCTGGCTTGTCTCTGTCCCAACCAGGGCAGGTTGTTACAGTGCAAAAAAGTCCTTACCTGGAGAAAGACATTTGTTTTATACCCTGATTTTCCTCTTTGCTTTGTAGTCCAATTTATTCGTTTTGGATTTGACATGAAAACTACCATCAGATACAATATAGCAGGAAAAAAAAAGTGAACTTTGAAAGGTCTGGCAGGAGGTCACAGTGAGACTCATCGATAGGTAAAGATTTTCCTTATAAATAAATTACAAAAAGGGCTGTTTGAAAGAGGGTGTTGCTCTAGTAATGTTTCAGATACCTTTGAAAAAAAGCCTATTTATATTAGTATAAATTTCAACAAGTTCTATGTAAATATGGCCCAATAATAGTATAGGATAGGTCTCATTTCAACGGATTCATACAAAATAAAATGAAAAACATTCATATGATAAAAAACAAAAACAAAGTGGAAAGACTGCAGTGACCTATTGAGAACCTTGCCGAATTCTTGAAGATCCATGCCCACCAAGGTAACAACTCCCACTAGGCCACTTCTAGCTAGTCTTTGTTGTTAGCATCATTTGTCAATATGTTGGGGTTTTTTTTTTTTTTAAGAAAGATGGCAAAAGCTTTGCCGGATTTTTATTAGATGAGGAAAAAGACAAAAGAATTACAACTGAATAGGAGAGCTTGGGAAAACCACTAACACGGCACGCAGACCGTCAATATGTTGGACTTATCCTCGAAATTCCCAACACACAAAAAAAAGTTCGTTCAGTAGAAATACGTAGTAGTATTGGAGTCTAGCACTGTGTTGCATCGGAATAGGACATATGTCCTAGCCTGGTTCGGCCATGTATATATATATGAGACGTACGGCAGCCTAGAGGGCTTAAGCCG